GGGGCCAGCCGGAGCGCCCCCGGGCCGGCGCCGCGGGCGCGAGTGCGGGTCCCGCGAACCGCCTGCCCGCCAGACAAAGCTGACAACATGGCTACCTCCGCTCGAACAAGTTCCTCGCAAGTTGAGCCACGGCGGGCGCCGGGGCTGCGGCCGAACGCAGCGCGCGCCTCGGCGGCCGTCGTCCGTCAACTTCAAGTTTCCCTCCGCGGAGCCCAGCCCGCAGCCCGCCCGGCGCCGAGGACGGCCGCCCCGCCGAGGCCGGGCCCGGGAAACTTTCAACGTCTGCAGCCCGCAACTGACAGCCCGGGCGGCGGGTGTCGCGACTCACCTTCAGACAGGTCTTCGATGCACTCGAAGGTGATCTCGAACTGGAACGGGTTGTAGAAAGGGGAAGGGTTATCCAGCACCACTACATTGTTCACCTGAACCTTTGCCATATTTTGAAAAAAAAAAAACAAACAATGGAAACTGGGGCTTGTTGCGGCACAATAAAGTCCAGCGCGTGGCCGCTCGGGAGAGCGCAGACCCCCGCCCCGGTGCCTGCCCGACGTCGTGCAGCGGCGACTTGAGAAACTTTTTTTTTCCTCTTTTTATTTACACGGGAGCACTCCACAGTGTTTTGCAGCTTTCCTATTTCACTAAACTACAGCCCATTCTGCTCTGATAACTAGCAGCGTTGCCCGCGATTGGCTGCACCTGAGCTCTGACCCTCCTCCTCCAGCGAGGGCCTCGGCAGCGAGCAAGATGGGCTCCTGCTCCCGGAACGGACTCGGAAACTTTAACTGCGGCTCCACCTGCTGGTGTGGATTAGGACAAAGGCGGAGAACAAAGTGAGTGGAATAAGGGCTGGGAGGCCCGCGCGGAGGCCGCCGCCGGCGGCGGGGGGAGGGGCGGTGCAGGCCCCGCCCCCGGCCCGGCGACTCCCGCGCCTCACGTCGGGCGTGGCCGCGCCGGGGGCGTGGCCCCGCTGAGGAGGCGTGGCCCCGCTTGGTGGGGGTGCGATCTCGGTCTCTCCCCGCCCCTCGGGTTTGCTTCGTGTTGGTTTTTTGGGGGTTTTTGGGTTTTTTCCTCCTTTTAACGGTGTTTTTACATCAGTGCTATGGCTATGCCGGCTCTCCTGAATTTAGGAGATGAAATTCCGTTGTCTATACTAGATTAGGTTCAGCTATGTGTCGGGTAGTATTTGGATTAGAGAGAGGGTTGATTGCAGTGGAAATAAACTGCATTTTATAGACCGATGTCAGCTCGAAAAGAGCAAAGCCATTTTGGAAATCTAGTTCTTGGCCACTGTACGTTTGGGCACGACAGCGCCGTTGAGTAGACGTAAAATGAAGGGCAAGGAGATGATTTTCCCCACACACACTAGTTGGAAAATCAAAATAGGTAATCTTTGGGCGGCACCTGAGGCTTCTTTTTCCCATTTCACATCTGAAAAGTCCTAGAACAAGAAAAAAAATTACAAGAGATGTGATCAGTTACAGCCCCGGTTACTGCCTTTTGGGCAGCGTAGCAGGAACATAAAAGGAGAAAATGGAAGTGTCAGAAGACCAAAAGAGCAACAAATATAACAGGAATAGGAAAGAACACAAAGGCACACCAAGACATTTGATCTTCAAAAAAATGTGTGACCTAAACCGTTAGTAAATGAAAATTTATGGCACGACAAGTAAATTCTGAGGAGCCTTTGCTTGCCTGTAACCAGTTCAGGGTCTGAACTGAGGAAATGTATTAGTTTATGCTTGGCTAGGATTGTGGGGAAAGGGAAATCTTTTAACACGTTTGTGAACTCAGACTATTTCCGTTTACTAAGTAAGAGTGGTGTAAAGGTTGGTTTTGTTACTTGTTATTCATAATCCATTGTTTTTCCTAAGTGTTGTTAATGAAACCACCAAACTTGAGCGACTCCCAAGCAGCTAACCATATTGCAACAGATAAGTCACTTAGAATGTCTTCATTTATTAAGTACCCAAGGGGGCCCACCTGATGCTTGGAGAGATGCATGGAATGTAACCCTCAGCTCACTTCTCTACAGATTACTTGGGGGAAGGATGGCTCAAAGAGATTGTTTTGGCTCTAACATGAACAAAGCCTACACTAGTGCCTAGGGCAGAAATGAATGAACCCAGTTAGCTGTTGTTACAGACTTAATTATGTCTCCCTTGAATTCATATGTTGAAGAACTCTAAACCCCTAGTACTTTAGAATGTAACTGTATTTGGAGATTGGGCTTCTAAAGAGGTGATTAAGTTAATTGAGGCCATTAGAGACGACCCTAATCTAATCTCACTGATGTTCTCATAACAAGGGGAAATTTGGACATAGGAGCACACACGCACAGAGGAAAACACCAAGAAGGCAGCCATTTGCAAGCCAAGGAAAGAGACCTCAGAAGAAACCAAACCTACCAACACTTCGATCTTGGATTTCTAGCTTCCAGAACTGTGAGAAAATAAATTTCTATTGTTCCAGCCACCCAGTCTATGATATTTTATGGCAGCCCTAACAAACTAATATAGCTATAAGATTTTTTTCCTCATAATTAAGCTTGTTTGAGAATTGAAACTTATTTAATCCAAATATTGGTCAGTTATCAAGTGCTTTCTGTGGTATGAAATGAAGTGGTCATTTAGCCTCGCCAGTAGGAAGGAGTGTAGTGTATTGTGGAATGGCTATGGCCATTCTTCAGAGGAAGAATCTACCATTGGGCACACAGTTTGATCTCTGAAGAGACAATATGTAGCATCCCTCCATGGATCCAAGGCACCTATACAGAGAACTTCTAAGAATCTGAAACTTGAAGTTAAATTGAGGTCACGCACAAAACAAAATGAAAGAGTGAATTTAAATGTACTAGAATTAAATTGTGCTGAATTAAAATGTATTAGAACTGGCATCAAATCCATTCTCAGTTCCTGCCCTCTACAAAAGTTACCATAGGAATGGAGGTACTAACCTCTTGCCTTTGTTCAAATCCTAGATTTTACCTGAGGTAATTAAATTATCAATGTGTTGAATTGTCTTTAAAGAGTCGTTTGTATTATTGTTCCTTTTTTTTTTTTTCGTGAGACAGAGTCTTGCTCTGTTGCCTGGGCTAGGGTGCCGTGGAGTCAGCCTAGCTCACAGCAACCTCAAACTCCTGGGCTCAAGGGATCCTCCAGCCTCAGCCTCCCAAGTAGATGGAACTACAGGTGTTTGCCACCATGCCCAGCTAATTTTTTCTGTTTTTAGTTGTCCAGCTCATTTCTTGCATTTTTAGTAGAGATGGGGTCTCGCTGTTGCCGAGGCTGGTCTCGGACTCCTGAGCTCAAGCAGTCCTCCCACCTTGGCCTCCCAGAGTGCTAGGATTACAGGCATGAGCCACCATGCCTGGCCATTGTTCCCATCTTTTTAAAAAATTCTCATGTAAGGCTTGTTTTAATATGGTCTTTAGTTAGTTTAAAAGGCTCCCTTTTATTAGTGACAGGATATGTCAAAATTTAATGACAGTTTTAAATACAATTTTCTCTGTGTAAGTGGAATATAGAGATTTGCTGGAGTTTACAGACATTTCCAAATGGAATAAATTATATAGTAATGATTTTAATAATAACTCATTACGTATATACGGAGAGCATTTATTATGTGAAATTTTTGTGCTGTGCTCTGTGAAATAGATATAAAACATACGAAGACCTTATGGTCCAGTAGGAAAGGTAACTATGTAATCAAATAAGTATGGTGCAGAATAGAAAGTGTTAGATGCAACTTTAAGCAATTATGTTAAAATAGGCAAAAGAAAAAATGTTTTCTTTACCATTTGTAAAAACTTTTAAATAACATATTTTTGAGCCTCACAATATTCTATGTGTGGTAGGAGAGTAAGGTATTATCATCCCATATGACAAATGAAGACGCTGGTGCTCAGAAACCCACTCCTCTAATTACTGTCCTAGTATCTTTCTACTCTCAGTACTGCGTCAGGCAAAATTTAGAGTGGGCTTTATGTATAGGAAAATGGATTGGTATCATTTTCTGGAAGAACACACAGGCTAGCAGACACTGTAGTAATAACTGGCTCAATGAACTCTTGAGGAATAAAACTCCATTAATGGAGTTGGCCCAGGTACGTACTGGAAATGAGAGGAGGACTCAGCCAAGCCAAAACTGGGGGAGTCTCCCTGTTGAGACACTACAGATATTGAGCTTCCTGTTTGCAACAGGGACAGTTGGGAAATAGGGAGGATGGAGCTACTCATCCTGGAATGCATCCTTATACTTTTTATAAGGTTTGATGTCTGTGACATAAAATGTACTTCCTTCCCATTCTCTACTCCACCTCATTAATAAAAGTTTCATTGTTTGGTCTTTATTGCTACCCACCATAGGTTAGACGTTTCTTAAAGATACAAGCTATATCTCATCCCTTGTCCATAGCTGGACTATACTGTTAAACACTTTTGGATAGTTTTAAATATCATTCAGCTTTCTGAAGCACCGTGATTATGTTTATTGACAGTTTCTTGATGTTAATATTATCATGTCTTTGACCGGAAGAATGTGAATGGAAGTGCCTAATAATTACTTTGTTTCTTATACTAGTTTTTTTTTTTCTTTTCTTTAACCATGTCTTCTTGGTCTTTATAACTCAAGCTCCTTCTAACCTCATTTTTCCTCTTGAACTCAGTCTCCACTTATAGTCCATTTTCCTTCATGTTTTATATTCCATCATTTTCTCTCTAACCCCTTGCCTCTCCCATTCATCAGAGGCTCTTTTCTTAATACCAGGAAAAAAGCAATGATCAGTAGAGAGAGCACTCAAATCTTTAAAACATCTCTAGGCTAGACCACTGCTTGCACTAAGCCATTGCTAAGCTTTTCTAGTCGGTTACTATAGAGACAAATGACATTAGATGGAGTCATGCTTGGCAAAAGCTAGACAAGTAGGCAAGGCCGTTTACAAAGAGTCAAAAACTAGAAAGATAGGGAGGGGAAAGCTTTCACAATTGAACTAATAGGCAATTAATTGGTAGGTATTTGGTTGGGTAGAATTTGCCTGCTAAGGCTTTGAACCCAACATACAAAGAATCCACCTCCAAGTACCCCTGGTGTGATTGCACAATAATATCTTTTAAATAACAGCTTTGCTGAGATATCGTTCACTCAATTAAAGTGTCTGAGCCAATAGCTTTTAGAATATTCAGAGTTGTGCAGCCATGACCACAATCAATTTTAGAATATTTTCATCATCTCAAAAAGATTCTTTGTGGCCTTTAGCATCCCCCTTCTCACCCCTGTGCTCTCATCCCCTAGCAGTAGGCAACCACTAAATTACTTTCTGTCTCTATATATTTGCCTATTCTAGACGTCTCATATAAATG